AACATTCAGTGTTTCACCCCCCCCGCCCCCGGCCCCCCGGCATCTCGATTCCGCGCGCAGCACCCCGCACCACGCCATGCCAGAGGATGAGCGAGAATACCGCTCGCCTAATAAATTATCGCATCTACTCAACCGCATAATTTTAAAGAGATACGACCACGATCAAAAATATTAAACATCCAAAGTGTTGGCATGAGGAGGGAGAGTTCGCATATAAGTATGTGGGTATATAGATAAATATATAGATATAAAGATCTTTACGTATATAGATATATGGATACATAAGTATCATGATATACATATATGGATATATAACAATATATGGTAATGGTATACATATATATGTGGACTAGAGTTGTAGCCTCAGATTCTTCCATTAATAGGTTCGAAGGCAACTAGGTTGATAGTATGTTGACAATATCTAGCCCGAAAGATTTCAAGCAATAGTGGTCGAAACATCCATGGTAAATCTTGTGCCGTGTTTAGGGTGTAGAGTTTGGGATTGTGCTTCACTTTTGCCATCACGAATCGCTGTCCGAATCAGAGGAGTCGCTCTCACTCTTGGCCTCTTTCTTGGCCTCTTTCTTGACTTTCCCGCCTGGCTCTGTTTTCTTCTTGGTGTCTTTGGTCTCCTTCTTCACCTTCTTGGCCTCCTTCTTGAGCTTCTTTGCTTCCTTCTTCCTTAGTCGTCGCCCTGAATCGACACACAACCTGGTTGAGGTTCAAGGGTCCTTCGTTCGAGGTTGGCATAGGGGCTTAGGATGTGGAGTTTAGGGTTTATCAGCGTTTAGGGTAGGGGCTTATTCACTACTATCAAGATCCTCAAACAAAGCCCCTACAGTAGCTGTGGAAATGCAGCTCGGTGTCATTCTCTTCAGCTCCTTCTTGTCCTCATCATGCCACGTAGAACCCCTAAACCCCTAAGACCCCAAAACCCCGGACCCCCTATACCCAAGACCCCGGAACCCTAAACTCTAAACCCTAAACCCTAAACCCCTAAACCCTAAACCCTAAACCCTAAACCCTAACCCCCGTCCTTCTTCAGCTTCTTAAGCTTCTTCCTCTCCTTCTCGGCTTCCTTTAAGTCAACCAGATTCTCCTCGAAGGACCTGAACACACCCAGGCCCTTTAAGGGATCCTTCATGGGCTCCTTCACGAAGCCTAATGCGTTTAGGAGTTTAGGGTTTAGGGTTTAGGGCCTATAAGCCCCATAAGCCCGAGACTCGAATCCCCAAGCCCTAGAAGACCCCCAAACCCGAGACTTGCGGAACCCTAAACCCTAAACCCTAAACCCTAAACCCTAAATCGCAACTGTGGTTCCCGAGCTGTGGTCCGACTCCGAAGTCCCTTAAACCCTAAACCCTCCCTTAATTCGGAAATCGTCCTTCTAAGGGCTTCCAATTTGGGCTTCCCCTTAAGGGAAGTGTAAGGGTTCTATGAGGGTTCAGGGTTCAGAGCTGCAGATTTGGGTTTAGGGTTTAGTGGCTCTCGTACCCCCTAAACCCGACACCCCAAACCTTAAACCCTAGACCCTAAACCCTAAACCACTAGTTGTCAGGATCACCGGTTGGGTAGCTTTCCAAATTAGGGTCCCTTTTGGGGTCCTCTTTATACAGGTGCCGTACTATATTGGGGACCTAAAAATTAAGTCTCAAAAATTAAGGGACCCTATTTTGAAGAAGTACCCATGTAGCCATGCCACTTTTCATCCTAAACCTTAATTAAACCCTACACCCTTGGCCTAAACCCTACACTCTTAAACTCTACACCCTTAACCCTAAACCCTACACCCTTAAACCCTGCACCCTCAAGGGGTAGGGAGCATCGAATCGCGGTTGCGCCCAGCAGCGAACTTTGGTTACCCGCGGATAGTCTGACCAGCTCGTAGGCGTTGCCGCCGCAAGGTTTACTTAGAGGGTTTAGGGTTTAGGGTCCGAGTACCCAAACAGTGAGGTTTTTTGGTGCCAAAATCCATATTCTGAATGGTTTCTAGACTTCGAAACCCTACGTACTGTTTGGGTACTTGGACGCTTAAGGTTAGGATTGAAAACAAGGGGCGTAATACATATTAGAAAAGGGCTTTGGGGTGTGTTTAGGGTTTCGGGTTTAGTGTCTAGGGTTCAGGGTTTAATTTAATCATAAGCTTAAGGAAAATGTTGGTAATTATTGAACAAACCTAAGTGCAACGCGTACCGGTGACCATCACCGTTTGCATCTGGGGCTCGGCACCACTAAATCACATCACGAGCCCAAGTTTCAGTTGCGTAACGTACCAGTATTCTGAGGCTCCCTAAACCCTAAACCCTGAATCGTCTCAGTTGCTACATGGATATGAAATCCCGGATCCGACCCAACACACCAACAACGCTGAAGCCTATACCCCACAAACCTACAACCCCTAAACCCTAAACCCAAAACTTACAACCAAAAAGCGCAAAACCTTCCTGCATCCTAAACCTTGAAGCACTTAAGACCTTAAGCCAAAGGGCCTAACTTAAATAAAGCTTAACCATCCTAATATTGTATTTTCTCCACAACTGCACAGGGGAAAGCCAGGCGCCAAAGAATTTACAAGGTCCTCTGGCCCTATGAGTTTGGAAAACTCCTGGCGAGGAACATACACCGCAAACGTATGCAGGATCCCTCCACTTAAGGTCTATACCTTTCTGAAAGGGTCTTGAACTCAAGGTTCTTGAAGTAGGTAGTTGTGATTCTGAATAATGGTACAAGAGTCCCCTTGCCAGCTACGCTGTAAATCAAGCCTACGCCAACTTATTCCTAAACAAGTGGTCCACAAAACATCTACCTTTTTTAAGGGGTTGTATATAGAAGCCATCATAAGGAACCCTAAGCAGTGTAGGTTTTGTCGGCTACAGATAAACTCTAAACCTCTAAACCCCTAGTTCCCTAAACTCCTAAGCCCAAACCCCTAAACCCTAAATTTCTGAACCCTAAACCCCGATACGCGTGGACACCGAAACCCACCCCTAATTCCCTCAAGCCCCAAACCCCAAACCCCTAAACCCTGAACCCTGAACCCTAAACCCTAAGCCCTAAACCCTATACCCTAAACCCTCAACCTTAAACCCTATACCC